TTTCTAAAAAGTTTTTATTTTGAAGAAACTGCTCTTGTGTAGTGTTCTCCTCAGCAGAATATACTGCTAATTAGATAAAATGCTAGATTGCTAGGAATTAAAACTTGGCTTGTATCGCGCGAAAACAGTTTATATTAAAGTGTGTCGGAGATTGTTTGCTCATTAAATGATATTTTTATTTAACTTTTGCAGTTGTAAAAGAATTATAAATTTGTTACAAGGGGCTAATTGGTATTTGTCTTATATATCTTGATGTAATGAAATAAGATCCTATATTTTTAACGTAAATATTAACAATAATATTACAAGCTTAAAAAGTCACGAAACAAAATTTTAAATCGTTTTTTCAATAAGTAGAAATAATTTTTGTATTGTTAAAAAATTTTGTAAAGTGAACCAAAATGCGGCATGCATGTTTAAAAATGCAAGTTTAAAAAAATAATGTATATGCGATTTTGGACTTACTGCGATATTCTTTAACTGAATTATATAATTTCATCTGCCAATACTGTTGACTGTATCTTATACTATTTTAATTTCTTGCACATCTCAGCTGCTTTTTTGCAATAATAATGTAGACATCACATTTTTCTTTATATTATATTCTAATATTATCTAGTCTCAAAATTTCAGTAAAGTCCAAATTTCAAGTGAATTGGCATTTCTAGCAGTTGACAGTTCAAATGTTTTCGATTTCAAACCATAATAAGTAGTTTTTTGTAATTTTTGCCATTTATTTTTACAATATTACTATAATTTTATCGTTCATTAAATCTTATAATTCTCTTTGACAAACTCTAGAAAGAATTATCAAAACTCGAATAACCGTTCAGGAGAAGTATCAAATCATACACCCGAATAGAAAAAATTATATATAAAATGAAGATACATCATTATAAAAAATTCTCATGGAGTCGCAAGGAAAAAATTACCGAGAAACGTTTCTGGTGATCTTTACAAAAAACTAATCAGCACAATTTTAAGTTAATATATGTCAGTTGGTATTTGAGTTTTCAAAATCAGTTCAGGATTTTTGGGAAAACATGGATAAACAATGTTGCGCTTTTATACTAATTCTAAAGAAGTTGTTCGAACAATCGTCTAATAAAACTATTGAAGTCGATTCACCTAGCATCTTTGAGTTTCATAGAACGACATGTAAATTTCTGAAATAATGATGCAGAAATTTTGGAGAAAATATCGACGAATTGTGAGATTTTGGATTTCATACTTACAAACAAATAATTTTGCAAACTCCTGTGTGAGAAAACATGAAACTAATATAATAAAAGTCTTAGTATAATTTTGACTCTTCAAGAGAAATGCTGACTACAGATCATGTTCATGTAAGGCACTGATTGAAAGCAATAATGGAAACTTGTTCAAACAAACATACTTCATCTATCTTTCTCTCTTTTAGTCCCTATGTCAAAATTAAAATAGTTATGACGACTGTCACTACCGTATACAGTCTTCCCTACTAGATTTTTAATAAATCTCCAAAATTTATATGTCTTGAATATTGCTTTGTTGTATCAAGAAGTCGACCAACTAAACAGGATGATCTTCGTGGAATATGGAGAAAATTTAAATTTACTTGTCAGATTTGGCTCAGTTTACTACTTAAACTTACATCCAATTTTGTATTTCTTTCATGATATATAAGGACAGATTCTGCCTCACAACATACCAATGTTATGGCAAGGCCATGTTACGCTCCAAGTTCCATACATTATGCTACTGAATCATTCTGAATACTATCAGAATGTCATGTATTTGCTATGAATTCAGACGTTTTACACATATACTGCAACGTCACTCGTATGTTATGAAGCTGGGTCAGAAAGACCCTGTTATTAAAGATCGTGTTTTTGACATTTGTACGGTTTTTAGGTTATGGTTTCTTAGTGACAACCTGAGAATAGCGCCTGACTGCATACTAACCACTTGGCTTTTGTCGATATTTAGTATGGAAAGATCTTCATAACATGCCTTGACATAACATTTTTTATAAGTCTCATAGTGTTTATATCTCAATAGGATGTCACCAGGCATATTTAATGCATTATCCTACTAGTAGATATGCATTCGTACACTACTACCTACCGCCTACTACCACTACTACCTACTACCTACCTACTACATAATAATATAGTGGCAGCATCCGCTTCCAATAGAGTTATGACCGGCAGTTCCGAGTGACACATATGGCGCATGACATGCATATGTCATGTCTGTGTCAGTGAATTCCAGTAATTCGTATAATATTATGCAATAAAATTATACACTGCACACACAGTATTACAGAGACTAGAAATGTGGCACTGAATTTAAATTCAAAATGTATGAACGTAATTTAAACATATATGAACTCTGCAGAGTGAGAGAGAGGGAGTAGCATTCGTGTACACTTTTCATTTAGAGGTGTTTTAAAAATAGTTGGGGATTTTTTATAAAGTACAGATGGTGAGTGAATATGTTAGTAATATATTTGTTGTGAAAATATTACTAAATTACTCAAGAAAAATGGATTGGGGAACACTAGATTTTCGCAAAGGAAAGTAGGTACTGGAGAAACGTACAGACTAGTGCATTAACAAAATAATTATATGGACAACTAAAAAAAATTATCCAAGAAGTTCACTATGTGCGGATTATTTTTTTGTAAGGACCACCAGGACTGTTTCTCTGTAATTAATTATATGAAAACAACTTACGATTTCATCAATATCAAAATTTTTCATAACAATCATGATCTTATTGATGTTTCAGGTTTTTGAATAATTATTAGTAGACAAAGTTAGTGCATGTTTTATTGAGTTAATTTTTTATATATGCTAAATCTATTATACCCAAAAGCAAATTCAAGTCTCATTTTATTTTTGCAAAATTGCACTTATAAAATCACCTTGTTGTTAGTACAATTACTATACCCAAATTATAATTAAAAAATGTTAGCACACATGCAATTTCATTAAATAATAAAATATATCAATAATAATAAATAATAATATGTATATAAATATTATAAATACTTAAGAAGTGTCTTAGGATAAAACATATATTATTTATTAAAATTTATAAATTTTTTTTTTTTTTTATTTTATAAAATTTGCAACATTTTGTGCTTTGACAATTTTTATCCCTGAGCTGTATTTTAACCCTTTTTACTCGGCTTCCGCCACTATTACAAAAAATGTACTGATTTTGCAATTAGCGAATAGAAAGGGTTAAAATAGCTTTGTGGTTCAAAATTATTTTTTAACTTCCCGTAGGGCAAGTTATGGTAATCGCAAAAAAATCGAAAATGAAAATTTTTATATATCTTTACGTTTTAGAGGTTTCAGAACATTTTGGCATACCTTAGAAAAAATGGATGTATGTGTGTGTGTGCGTGTATGTGTGTGTGTACGGATACAAATTTTCGTCGACGATTTTGGAAATACCGATCAACCGATTTGAATAATTCAAATAATATTCGATTCGTATTGATAAGGATACATGCTAATTAGTTTTTGGCGAAGGCAGGTCTAGCCGTTCCGAAGATACGGGACAAAAAGTGCCAAAAACGGTAACTCAGTTTTTAAGAGAACGGAGCGTCCGATTTGAATAATTCAGAAATCATTTTACTTGTATTAACAAGATGATGAATTGATCAAATTTTCATGAAAGCAGTTCTAGCGATTTCGCAGATCTAGTAAAAAGTAAAATTTGGCGGTAAAAAGTGATCATTAGACATATGCACATCAAATTATCAGATATTTTATAGATATTTTAACAATAAGTATAAATTTTGTTTACATTTCTATGGGTTCCGTACCAATGTTCATCCGTTAGACGGCGACGCGGCGCTTACGCGCTTTGACAGTTTGTCTCTATGTAGTTAAAGAAGTACGAAAAAAAGTTCAGAATTTCCAAAATATGTTAAAATAAAGAAAACATCTTTTTACAAAAAAAAAAAAAAAATTTTTTCAGTTTCTCAAAAATCTAATTTTTTCAAAGTAAAATTTTGTCAAAAATGTTAGTCTTCTTAAAAAAATAATATTTTTTGGTACGGGAAGTTCCAGCAATTTGCCTTAAGGCACGATGCCATGCGCCCCACTAGTTTTATTATTATTTTAGCTAAATAGTCAATCACAATACATAGTTTCTAGAAGTCTATACCTTATATTATAGGAAATACATTAACGATTAAAACCTTAATATTTAAAAATTCTATAATTCTTTTATTAAGTAATTCACACCTGATCCGAAATATTTTTAGAAACTTCATCACCTTTAAAATCAATTTTCGTTAAACTATGCCTACACAAGATCGTAAAATATTTAATTTGGGAGATGACAAGTCGACACCGATTTATTTTAAAATCATTGCCGAAGTAAAATCGAAACTCTTGCCAAAATAATATGAGCGTAGGTAAACTGCTAATAAAATGGACGATTAGGTTTTATTATCAATTTTAATGGATACTGAATAGATAAAAACACTAAAAATACTAAAAATACATCAGGGTAATGAAATTTGTTTAAAATACTTTTTACTGTTGTTTATCATATTTAATAATATTAGGATAATAAATTTTGTTTGAAATCCTTTTTTTTTTACTCTTGCTTATACATAAGTGTGTATATATATATATATATATATATATATATATATAATATAAATACACATTAAATCATAACTAGTAAATTTTTAGTTCAACCATTAATAAAAATTCTTTTTCCTTTCAGAAATCTACAAGAGCTGACTCCAACCTCGGATCGATACCAAAGAAATAAACCAAAAAATCGACAAAACCAAAATTTTCCAAAATTAACGACTTTCACGCGAATCCAAAAAAATCAAAAGTGCACAGAATCATTTTCAACAATTTTACAAAAATCTCGAACTTACCATAAAATGATGTTATTAGGCGATGCGTGATAAAATGTCAATTATAAAATCTAGGTGACTTCTAAATTAGAGTGAAAACTTAATATTTATTTTAGTTTTATTAATTTATGTGAATTTGTGCAATTTGTGTGACCATGGCTGAGAAACATTTTGAGATGCTGATTATTTTGCTGGTAGCTGTTTTTGTTTTCAACGCAGATGCACAAGGTAAGACTTGGATTTATTTTTAATAAAAAAATCCAAAAAGCTATGATATAAACCATAGTGTTTGAATCAGTTTGTTGTCATAATAACAAAAAACTTTTAAATAATTACCATTAAAAAATAACAAATGCATGGGAATACAAATAATAATACAAATATACAATAATAATTATACAAATAATTATATAATTATAGTTGTCATATAAAATAAATTGTAACGATTGTGATTGTTGTTACATTGGAGAAAGTACACAATATATTGAAAAAAAGTATGAATCAACATATTTGTAATTCAAAAAATCCAAATCAATATAAGGCTATGTTTTCGGAACATATTACAATTGTAAACCATTTTAAACTTTTGGTACCAAAAATCCTATTTTAGCCGAAAGTATAAAAATCGAGTTTTTTACACATACTTTTCTTCAATTTTGGTCTACGATGTCATCATTTGGAGCAGCCATTTTTTTAAATAAAGGCTTTTGGTTAGTTTCGAATTTTGACAATACTTTCAACTTTTTTTCACTTTAACTGTTGTTTAAAAAGTAAATTGTTACGATTGTGATTGTTGTTACGTTGGAAAAAGTTCACAAAATATTTACCAAGATATGAATCAACATATCTGTAATTCATAAAATCCAAATCAATGTAAGACCATGTTTTCGAAACATATTATTAGTTTGAACAATACTTTTAATACTAAGAATTCTATTTTTAGAAAATTTTCTGAATCTGTATTTATTTTTTTAAATTCCTTTTGTGTTAAAAACGAAGTTCTGCTTTTTCAGTACGTCATAACACGATCAATTCTTTTAAAAATAACTCTTCAAATTTTTGACTTTTGCTTGTTTTTTTTTAATTTTTAGATTTTTTTATTTATCATGTTTTTATATAATTTTGATATTTAATTTTCGCTAAGTTTTTTATCTATCCTTGTTAGCAACTATTCATGAAAACGATTCTGCATCAGGTTTCTGTGAACCCTGTCGTCTTCTATCGGTTTTATTCGGATTTATATATATATATATATATATATATATATATATAAACAAAACTACTTACTATACTTAACTAATATTTATCTAAAACATCCTATTAAATGCAATTAAAACTCTTTTGTCAAAAACATTTAACATTTGACGTATGAGCCACCGTCCATTATTTCATTTAAATTACGCTTCTACAAAAGTTTTAAAATCAAAAATGTAATGTTCCTATGCAGTTCTAAAAAAAATCTCGTCTTTCCCACAATCTCTAGAGCATGCATTTTTCAAGACTAAGACTGACCAAATCCATAGTTTTAGTATACCTAACTTAATGCCGAGCTCTATTTTTATATCTAAGATTGAAAATGTTTCTAGTATAAACTAGAAATTTATTAAAATTCGTTTGGTGTATGAAATATGACTTAAAGTTATCTATAAAATAATATATATTGGACACTAAAATAAGATTTTTTTTCTCTTAATAGCTATATTGAATGTTTAGTGCTTAATTGCCATACCACACAACGGTGATTGCATATGTTATTTCCATTCAGATATCACTACTGTATAATAATTTTATACAAACTTTCACAATATTCTAGCTAAAACTTTGTGTACTTTTTACAAGTAAAAAATTGTGTTACAAGCTATCCTCCACCATCGAGGAAACCTTTAGCATTATAAGGTTAACTGATGGCTCCATTATTCACAAAAAACTCATTAAGGATTCCATAATCCTTGGTGTAGGAGAGCATAGAATGCGATTTTCATAGTGCACCAAGACATATAATAATAGCTGATATATAATATAATATGTCCAGCGACTTTTCCTATAGAAAAACGGCGAAGGAAATCGATATTATGCATAGAAATGTTACACGGAATGAATTATTGCGGATTTCCATTTAATTTTCCCGAGCGCAGATTTTTATTCGTGAGATATTACCTTGACTTATGGGCGATGGAAAATAAAGGAAAGGTATTTTAGTTTTTGTTTCACAACTGCTTTAAAAATATTTAGAGGAATTATTCTACTACTTATTCAATTTTGTTAAGATCTTTGGTAGCAAACAAAAATATCTCTTTGAATTGTATATCATCATCCAAAATGGGAGTTGTGTATGTCAAACAGATTTTATTCGATTTAGTGTAACATATTTAATTATATATATATATATATATATATATATATATACAAAATGATGGAAAATCATGAAAATGCAGATCATCTAAAAACGATTTCTATCATTTATTCAATCTTCGACAAGCCACTACAACAATATCTTCTTCTGTTCATTCCATCGAAAACGTGAGGCGGAAACTGAACGTTTTGTTGCGTTGCATAACTAAGTTACAAGTTGCCTTCAAAGTCACTCGGAAAATTCTCAGCACAAAGAAAATAGTGCCGTATCAGCTTTTCAGCTTCTCTAGGAAACTCCTGGAAAATTGTTAGCGACGTACAGCACGTCAAACCTAAAATGCGGAAACGCGTCACGGTGGAGGATTAGTAAGTGGAAATGGTTTTCTTCTCTAAAGTCGACACTAAAATTAATAATTGACGTATTTTTATATTTTTAATCTAGGTATTTTAAATTTGAACAATAACCAAAAATATTGTGAAAAACATGAGTATGAAAATAAAAGTGCGCGTAAGGTACAAGATGGCATTTTCTTTACGAATTATTTACTTTAAAAATAAATACATCATATAACAATTTTGAATAATGTTCATTAGTAATATGGTAACACTCCGATGCACACATTTTTTAATGTCAAACATTATACATATTGATATAATAATAAATTATAAATTATATATTTATAATAACATTGAAAATATTTATAATATTCGAAAACAATAATGTAATTAAAGTCATACTTCAAATACAACACGATCGATTTGTCATTGTAATTAGCATTTAGAATTTGAACCTTAGAGAAATTGCATTATAAAAATGAAGTAATTTCTGATTAATAAATTCTAAGAACAATCTTGAGTAATTTTATTAGCACTAGCTACACTTACACTGAATAAATAAATTGTATAGATATCCATTATGAAGTATATCTGTACATAAATGATACACAGCTACAAAAACTAGTATTGTGCTTGATCTTCTGATTAGAGTAATAAATGAATATCAATTCATTCTTCATTATTTTTAATTATTTAAAAAATATGCAACTTTGTAATACTTTACGTTCAGGATCACAAAATCAAATTGTAAGTTTCGACATTTGAACGAGAACAGTTGTTTCACTTGTCATGTAATTAAAATTAGCATACATTCATTGACTGTTTGTTTTTTGACTATTTCGCTGGCGATACAGTCTCATTCTTTGAGCTGTAGTTTGTGTTTTGGCTATGAAAATAATTTTTAAAAATATATAGTAACTACGAGTAATACAAATTATTTCAATAAACTTACGTTTCTTACACTGCAAAGATTTTTCATTTGCTTTATTATTTTCACTATATGCGTAGACATACGACTATACGCATACAATCAAAGCAATCATACTAATGCGACACGACAACCAATCACAATCGACCCGTATAGAAATGATCTCATTCCGTTGCATTTTCACAGATTTACACCCTAGCCGCGCCTAAAGAAGTTTTACTTCAAAAACAGAAAAGCCAACCAAATCTAGAATATAGAACTTAATATGCAAACTTTTTACCAAAAAATAATTCTAGAAAACTTTTAGTATTACAATTAACTGATTGTGAATATAGTATTTGTTGGTACATAAGTGATAGAAGCAGTTATCACAAATTATATGGATAGTTTACTCACTGCAAAGCATAGCACATACATATGTTCCTGGAAGTATAGATAGTCATTGCAAATACCAGTCTAATCAGAAAGTGTGTTCTTCTAAATTTTGTTCCCAAAATTTGGGGAAGCAAAATTCGAAAATATTATTTTGAATTGCACAGTGGACTGCATACATTATATAACATTAAATTTAATTATTGTAGAAAATTGGCCCCAAAATTGAAGAAAATATTATGGATAGACAACCATTAACTAAAAATAAGTTTTTTTTAGTTCAATTTGAGATTTTCCATATATTTGAGAAAATCTTACAAGAAATTTAGTAAAAAGCATTCATAGGCTGCACTCGATATGAAAAGTTATTATTTGATTACTAACCTACGAAATAGGAATTTGTGATAGAAGCGTGACAATTTAGGGCTGCATTTGTCTTTCTGATCAAAAATGATTAAAAAAATTGATTCAAAAATCAAGGCCCATCCTTATCATATAATGGTATGAAAAATAGATGTTTCTAAGTCATTCAAAAATAGATGAAAATTTTATGGAAATCTCGAACGACGAACATCATGACACAAAAATTTCTACATATATATATATATATATATATATATATATATATATATGTATGTATGTATGTATGTATGTATGTATGTATGAGTGCATGTGTGTATCATGTACTAGATCTTTACAAAAGTGCACTCGTTTACAAAAGCAGCAGCTTTCTTGGTACAAATCGATTGGCTGCTTTTTCTGAATCGTCGTCATTTATTCAAATTTCTTGTGAAACATCCACGTCTACAAATTACTTCATACAAAATGAAAAGAAAAACATGCCAGCTACAAATACAATACAGACAGAATAGTAGAGGGTAGGTGGGCATAGGGTGGGTATAGGGTGGCTATAGGGATGTGCTAAAATAGCGTATTCACGCAAAATCCTCTCTCAGTGGGAAGAAGAAGCTGTCGGCAAATCGACAATAGTTTTGCATAGGAATAAGGAATCCCTTTCCACCCCCTGTCGAAGAGATTTTCTCCTGTACTTGCTTTCAAAGCAATGCTGAAGGAATCGCTTCGAGAATTTGGTGCTAAGTTTATAGCCGGAGAGCTGGGGAAGATTATTCTCCATATCAGTTTTCTTTATTATGTTAATTTATACAAATGAGAAATTACTGTTCTTGTATATATGGTTCAAGAATTGCTTATTATTTACATGATTGAATCTAGTTTGCTT